AATACTTCCATTCCAATAACAATAACTGTTCCTTCATGTCCTTCAGTAATTAAACTTGAAATTAAATTATTATCCATTTGGTATTTATTTAATGATAAAATAAATTCAACACACTGCATATGAACAGAAATCCAATGACCTCTTCTATCTATTGCACTAGAATCATCAAGAAAATCTTGTATAAGCATAGAGTCACTGTAAACATTTGGGTATTTTGATTTAAATAATAAATAAGAATATAATGGAGGTAATTGTTCAGCCCCTAACACCTCTCTTTTTTTTCCTGTTCTTAAATAAAATCCATCAATAACATTTTCGATTTCATGTAATAAAGTTGCTCCTATTGTGAGTTTTTGATAAGGGTATTTAGAGAGACTAATTCTTTTAAATGTTTCTATAACTGGTAAATAAGGTGATGCTGAGACCCCTTTTTCTTCTAACAAAAATGGTGTTTCAACATTAAAATGATATGGATGTGCATTTCCAAGAGAGTTCATTAAATCTTGAATCTTTCTATCTTTTTCTCCATATTCTTTACGATATTTACTAATAATTGTTTCTCCACAAACATCAAATACATTAATTTGTATTGCTGTATCTAATTCCCCATTATTTTTACTTTCAATAAACATTTTTTTTATAAGTTCGGTTCGTACTTGTTTAAGGGTATTAATCCAAACACTACCAAGTCCTTTACATTCAGACCTAATTAAAGCTTGAGTAATAGGACTTAAACAAGGATATAGACTTGACATTTTTAATGTAGAAACAAAAACATCTACTTTCTTTAAATCTAAGTCTACATCATTCTCTATTTTAATAGAGGCATTTGGGTTAAGTTCTTGAAGTCTATTTTGTATTGCTTGAATTTGTTGTTGATTTGCTCTTTGTTTAAAAGCAAATTTTGTATTTGAAATAACTATCTTTGATTGTTGAATTTCAATATCAGTTAAATCACTTTCATTATTAATTTCGGTGTTTTGAGTTATTATAGAATTTTCATACTCAGCTTTAATTCTAGCTAGTTGAGCATATAAAATATCGTCATGTTGAATTTGATTAATTTGTGCTTCCGATAAATTTCTTAAAGGATCACCAACAAGAACTTCAAGAATTCCTTTTCCTGAAGTTAAATATAGTAATTTCCCTGAAACAGTTAATAGATTTTGACCAACTTCTGTTGCATCAAGTTTGAACGCTATCATAGATCTATAGATGCTTAATTGAATAAGAAATTGAAATACCAATTCATTAATATTATTTTTATCATTTATTGGTTGGGCTGTGACATTAACTAGTTTTAATAATTCATTTACACAACGATGTATTGATTCAATATTATTTTCTGTTTTTCTACTTCTAACAACTTCATGAAGTGCTGAGACAAGTACCATATGTTTGCTTTGATCTGTGTTTTGAGGATTTTCTATAAATTGGAAAATTGATAAGAAACTCATCTTTTCTCAAATCTAAATCTTTTCTTTTTAAGTTCTTTTTTATTAACTAAATTTTTATAATTTTTTTTTATTTTTATTAACTCAACTTGAATTCTTCATTCATATGAAAATAGAATATATACTAAAATTATTTAATTTTAAATAAAATTGTTATGTGGATATCTTTTGACATCCATCATATTAAAAGATAATCCCTCTCTGTGTAATACATGAGGAATACACCCATCAAACATGTAAGGGATACCTTTTACGAGATTAACTCTCTTTTCAGAAAACATACAAATCCTATCATGTTTACAATCAGCAAAATGAGCGTAAGGAAATTTAGAACTAATAGTTCCATTATAAATTAAATAGTTATACACGGCTTGATCAAATCCCCATCTTTTTTGACCACCAACACGAACCATTTCATTTGTCCATATTGTCAATAACTTAAGTACTGAATGAACATCACCACCACCAAAACCTGCATTATTAATTGGAGCTTTCTTTTTCTTTAATTCTTTAGTAAAGTCTTCACCATATGCATCTTTCATCCAAATATAGTTATTGTAGTATTGGTAGAAACCGTCATATGAATAATAATCATTATCCTCTGAACTTCTAAATTCTCTTCCAATTATTAATGAATTTTGGTTGTTGATTTGTTTAAATGGATCTCTTAAGATATAAATATCTTTTGAATCGCAAAATATAACTCTATCAATTTCTCCTTCATGTTCTTTTAAATATTCTTTGTATAACATAAATCTATAATTTATCATATTCCATCCTTCTGGTAAAGTAACATAAATGGCATCAATAGAATATGTCCGTACCATTTTATCCCATATATCAATTCCTTTTAATTGTTCTGCTAAAAATAATACTAAATGTGCTTTTGGAATCGTTTGACGCATTAAATAAAAAACGTATGACATGCTTTCTAAATGCCCTTCAGTCCATCCACTTTTTGGTATAAACGTTCCCATAACAACATCTCTTGATGTTGCTGAATTAAAAGAAAGTTGAGGTTCGCATTGAGTGTTATGTTGTGGTAGGTTCTTTAAACATAATAATCTATTATGGTCGCATAACCAATCAGTTATTTCTATGTCATGATATTTTGGACTATCAGTTATACCTGCAACAAATAAAGCAATAACCATCAACGAAGTACTAACAAAAAGTAAAGTATCACATACTTTCATCATTGAACTTTAAATTATTTAAATATGTTTTTTAGTTTTTTATTTTAAGTATTTTATTCTTTTTTTGATTATCCTTTTCTAAAAAAATGAAAGGAAATCACGAAGAAATAATAATATGGAAAGAATATACTTCTGGAATAAATATTGATATGAATACACTTGTTTTATTGTAGAGAGTAGTTATAGAAATAACATTCAACATAGAGGTATAATGAAAGGCAGGATAAAAAATAAGTGGAAGAGACAGAAAAGAAAAGATGAAAATAATACAAGAAAACAAAAATATAAAAATACAAATGAAATAATGCACAATACAAATGAAAGACAAAGAAAAGTTTGAGAAGAGGAAATGATACACAAATAGAGACAACGAAGAAGAGAAAGATTGAAGAAATAAAAGAAATAAATAAAGAATAAATTTTTATCAAATAACAAAGAAGAAAATAGAGAAACTTCAAGAAGAAGAGATGAGTTTAAAGAGATAATTATCTTCTTGAATGAAAATGAGAGAGAGATTTAGAACGAGAATAAAGAAGAGAACACATCAATAGATGATTCAAGAAATAATAAAATGATCAAAAGAACAAACAGAAATACAAAATTAGAAGAAGAGAAAAGAATGAGTTATTATTTTTAAATAAATAAGTTTAATAATGAATTAAGAATAAAATTACAAATTAAAGAACCAGAAGTGATAAAGAAAGAATATAGAAATGGAACGAGCAAAGAAGAATATATAGAAACATGAAAAACATTAGAAGAAGAAATTAATTAAAGCATACATAAAAAAACAAGTGATAGAAATATTAAATACAAGAATATAAAAATAAAAAATAGAAGAATAGATAAGAAAACAACAAACAATGAAATAGATAGAAAATATAAATAATAAATAATGAGAGATAGTACTAGTGAATGAATTTAAAAGATAATTATAAGATAACATATTTATTAAAAATACTTAAAACCAAATACATTTAATATAAAAGAAATCACTACATTACAACAACGATAAATAAAATAAATAATAATAAACAAGAGAAATAAAGAATAATAAGAGATAAATGAATGAAAGTAGAAGTAATACTAAAGAAAGTAAAAACAGAAAATAAACTGAATATCAAAAAGAAAAAAATAAGAAGGAAAATAAATTAAATAGAAAGAGAAATACAATAATAAAATAAAGAATATAAATTAGAAAAATAAGAAAAATAGAAAGTCCAAATGAACAATGAATTAATGAATTTTAGAAGAGAATATATTTATAAAACAAAGAAATATAGAAAATAAATATTTAAACAAATATAAAATAAAACAAGAAGATGAAAAATATAGAAATAACAAAAATAACATAGAATTTTGATGAAACATTAAAAAGAATTTCAAAATAGAAATCATATGGTATAGTCCACAAATCAATGATAATATTTGAAGAAATTACATAATAATAGAGAAATAATTATTAAGATATTTGAAGAATAGATAAAAACACAAGAAGAAACTTCAAATGATAATAAAAAGAACAATTTTAATATACAAAAATGATGATAATACAAAACAGAGAATTATCAGTTTCATGTTTAAATGCAAATATGAAAGTGTTCACAATAATAATCAAAATGAGGATAGAAGAAAAATAAAAAGAAATGGTGAGAGTCACCAAAATAATATTACAATACCAATGAAAACAGAAGTATTGAACAGTAAAAGAATGAAAAATAAAAATGATAATAAAGAAAAATGAATAGATAATTAGAAATATTATATGATGTAAAGAAATATTATGAATAAATAAAACATAAATATTTAATAATAACATTAAATTATTTTAATTTAACTAAAAAACATAATAGAAATAATAGAAAAAATGAACAATCAATAAAGAATAAAAAATAATATATAATTATAAAGAAATGAATAGAAACATTAAATTTGAATGTGGCATCATTCATTATTATCATTATTATTCATTTGTAAAATGAATATTGTTTCATATTTATTACATAGAATCAAAAATAAGTGATAAAATAGTAGAATATATATTATATATGATGATATGAAGATAATAAATAAAACAAAAATATTGAAATAACAATTAATAAAGTAATAAATACAATAAGATGAATAGGAAATGAAATTGATATAAAAAATATAAAATAATTGGAAGTTGAATATAGCAATAACAGATATTATGAAAAAGATACAAATAGTTGATGAAAATAAATTATATAATATTTATGAATATTCAAATATTCAAATAATGATAAAGAATTTATTAAGAAGATAACACATTGTCTTATGAAATGAAAATATAAATCAGAAATGACAACAACATCAATTATATAAGAAGAAATAATATAAGAATGATATCATTGTTCAGATATTCATCATTTTTAATCAAATTATTCAGAATGAAATTAATTAAATTAGATTAAATGATAAGAAAAGAAATGAATAAATTAAATTGAAAATGAAATAAATATGAAGCATAAATGTATATGATAAAAAAGAAAATAAAGGATATTGATTATTATCAAATAGAGAAGAATATGATATATGTATATATTCATTAGACCAATAATTTAATTCAAATGGAGAGAATGAGATAAAATAAGATAAATAAATAAAATGAAAGGAAAGAAAATAGAAATGAACATATTTTATCAAACATGAAGAAAGAGAATAAATAAAAATAAAATAAAGAGATCTATGAGAAAGAAGATAAATAGAAAAACAAATTAATATGATTATTAAATATATAAAGAATATATTCTATCATTATTATTTAAATAAATAGAATAATAATAGTATAAAAT